CCAGAGGGCCCGAATTAAAAAAAATCCACGCGACCACGGGGAGAACACGCGAACTCCAACTAAACGGGCGCCAGGGTCGGGGTCAAATCCCTGACCTTCTGCATACCAGGCGAGGAAGAAAACATCCCACCAGCGGAGATGAACTAATCCCATTGAAGTGAGTGAAACATCGTCGCCTCTTTTGCATGGGCGACACGGGTTGCGTCTAAAACAATTTTATGGAAACAACTGAACAAATGTAGGCAACGTTTAACAATACATTAATACAGTACAATATGTATAAGCCCTAATAATAATAAAAAAAGTAAATTTGCACTTTTAAAAGTCAAATATCAATTCAGATATATACATTTAGGCAAGTGACAAGGGTATAGCTCGAACTAGAGTTTGGTGTGTAAACATCACCGGGGGTGGGTGGGTGGGGGAGAGACAGCGGTGGTTGCTAACCACACCACTCGCCCTCACGAGCCGTACTGCCTTGCACGGTTGTTCACGAATCGCACTTGCCTCAACAGTCTCCACAAGGCGACCACCTGGGGAATGTTTACCTTTGGTGTTGCATCGGTGCTGTGTGTGAAAGCAATGTCTGTGTCTCTGTGTTCAGGTCCATGTCAACGGGTGTCAGAATGAAGAATCTGTATGTACAGCGGAGGAATCCGAGTAGCAATAAAAGCTATTTTTCCACAGATGTCCGGTAGGGACGAGTCAGAACGTGACAACGACGCTCTCTCTCTCTCTCTGTGTGTCCCTCTAGTTGTGTGCGTCTGCCATTGGTGTGTCAGTGCTTGCTGTTGTGTCTTTTTGTTTGTTTAACATTTTATTCTCAGTAGCTGGATGAACCTTTTGTTCGTCTATATTGTTCAAGTTTTGCTCGCGAAAAATGTCTTCGGAAAATCTGTTGGATAGACAATATATCAGTTATAAATAGAATAGAATGCATATATACTGTACTGCATGTCCTTCCAAAAAAACGTTTTTTTGTGAATAGGATTTTTAAAATACCATGTCCATACCCTGTATTCAATAGCGTCGAGGCATTTAGGACACAGGGCATGAGAATTTTCGGTAGCCTCGAGGCATTTAGGACACAGGGCATGAGAATTTAGCTGCACGTGATGCGTTCCATTCAGCCGCTGACCCTTCTCATCAGCAAACTACCGTGGAGAAAAACAAAACAAAGCACGGAATAAGTTTAACACGTAGTAGAGGATGCTCTCTCGAACAATATTATTGATAAGAGGGGTTTTCTTGGGTTAGATCGCGTAAATATAAATGTGTCGTTAAAGCCCGCCGCCGCCGCCACCCGGCACAGCCAATTAGTAAGGGTTTGGGTCACGTAAACAAAACGTGCCAATTAGTTATTATCCATAATACTGTTTTTTGGGGGGGGGTTAGATTGCGTAAATATATAAATGTGTCGTTAAACCCGCCACCACCCGACACAGCCAATTCGTGAGTGTTGTCACGTAAACAGAACGTGGCCAATTCGTTACGAGTACAGCACCACCGGTTGTGTGTTGGAGAGCCAAGCCACAACATTGACAATCTGAGTACGACGTTTCGCCAGTAATTACAACCAGCTTCATCAGGCGACAGCCAGATTTGTGGAGAAGTCCACCTGTTTCGTTCCTGATGTAGCGGCGTAGATGTGGGGACCACGCTTGTGCGCTCTCTTTGCGCAAAGTGGGGGGAGGGGGGTAGACTAATGAGTCAACGTACATTATGCATGCGCATTATGCGAGCCCTTTGATCTTGTCCTTCCTGATCGTTGTGTGTACTAAAATAGCCGTAACAACGGTACCCTATTGAAGTATAGTGGCCTGTATAGGCATGCATTTAAACAATGTTTTATTTGATTATTCGCTTCCAAGCAGCACTAAGTCGGTAGCGATCCGAACGGTTAAAATTATGTTTATTCCTTTCAATTTCGATAGATTATCTAATTAGTCTTGGCCAGTAGTACCTTGTTTTGCACAGAACTTCAACATTATCAAATTCAATTGAGTGTCCTTGTTGGCACGCGTGTTCTGCTGCTGCTGACAGTTGTATTTGGGAGTAGTTAATATGTATTTAGTGTTCTTTTAGTCTCGTGCTGATCATTCGTCCTGTTTGTGCAACATAGCATTTGCCCAAATGCAATTAATCCGGTACACACCTGTTGATAGCTTCGGTAATACATCTTAAGTACCGGATATTAATTTCTGTATTGTATGTACCGTGACAAATCTGACTCGGATGTTTTGTTTTTCCAAACATCTGGCTAGTTTATCAATTACTCCTGCAATGTACGGTATTTTGATCGTTTTAATTACTTTGGCAGTTTCAAGGCTCTTGTTATTTGATTTGGTTTTGGCATTCAGTGCCCTGTTCATTTGTGCATCATTGTAACCGTTCAATTACAGCGCTTTAACATATTTAATTTAACTTCTCAGACTATCACCATCTGACATTTTCTTAGCCCGATGAATGAGCGTCTTGATGAGAGAGGATTTCTGTTCGGGGTGATGGTGTAACTGCATTCAGTTAGACGTGAGTGTGCATTTTCTTTCGGTAAACGCTGTGTGTTATTTTACCATTTCGACCCCGTCCGAGCAGAATATCCAGAAATGGTAGAGTTCTGTCAGATTCCACTTCCATGGTGAACTGAATGGATGGGTTTTACGAGTTGAGATGATTTAGAAATGCGTTAAGTGTATCTTTGCCGTGTGGACAGACCACCAATGTGTCATCCACATATCGAAACCAAAATGTTGTGGCTTGGCTCTCCAACACACCGGGTGTGCTGTACTAGTGACGAATTGGCCACGTTCTGTTTACGTGACAACCCTTACTAGTTGGCTGGGTTTAACGACACATGTATATATTAACCCCCCCCCCCCCCCAAAAAAACCCTCTGTTATATGGAAAGCACGGCATCACGGTGCATTGTCTCCAAGTGAAGCCTTTGAAGTTTTAAGGAACTGACAGATGTGGTGATGCTGCCGCTTGCGCTGCCTGTGGCACACAAGCACGTGCGTTAACAATAGAAAGAAGCACTCCACGCGTTCGTCAATAACGCTGCGGCTTTAAAAGGAAAAAAAAACTCAAAAATATATAATAGGTGACGTTTGGGCAATGGGCCCGTCTTCATGTCACATAATGAGTGCTATGAAGAAGGGCCATTGCATGAAACGTCGCCTGTTATATATATTTCTTTTAAGGCCACATTGTTATTGACAAATGTGTTGATTTTTTTTTATTTCAAGGAACGGAACGTTACTCACTTCATACGAAGAATGCTCATAATAAAAAGCCAACAATATCAAAGCGACTAAGTTTTTGTTTTTGCTCCTGTGAATGGAAAACCAATGCGGCATTCATATTCCAGTGTGTTACCTTGTGTCTGCCTTGCGGTGTGTCTGCATGTTCAGTGTTGTTGTCTGCTTTCCTGATGTTTCGATTTAAAGCTTTCGTGACTGCAGGGATTCATATTCTTGGTTCTTTCGGTAAAGTCACGTAGAAGGGAAATAATAAAATAATGAAAATAAAACAATTAAATTCTCACGACGTTTTGATTGCAAACACAAGCAATCATCATCAGGTGTGAAAATCACAGCAAGAAAATTTGAAAAAAGTGGCGGTTTGTTTGTGTCGATGTGGCATTGTGTCTCTCTGTTCATCCTAATTTATTGTTCCCGCGTGTGTAATTGTGTAAATGTACTAAATTCTGAATTACACCTCCGATTAGCGAGGTTGGCTCCGTATGGTGCGAAAGAAGTTAAACATACATACAATTACTATTGTTGTAATTATTTTGTCTGGCATTGTGATTGACCGTATACGGTATTGTGTCTGCCTGGTATGTTGTGAACGCAGCCCTGTGTCTGGTTTTGTGTATTTACGTAATGTTGCATGTCATACATCACGTCCCTTGGTCTTTCACCTTAACGAATGCGTTGACGCAATAACTATACCTCGTTTTAAATGCGAGGGATAAACCGATATCTTTGCACTCCGTCTTCTTGGTGCTTGAATGATAATTTTACTTACATCACCTTACTTAAAATCTTTGCTCACGTAGTAATATCCCAGTTGCTGAGCTGTCAAGCCAGGTAGCTGAACAGCCCAGCTATACCACAGGTGAGCCCATAGCCTATCAGACTGGTGAATAATTATCCCAGGTATTGAACAGTTACCTATGAAGACGTTGTCTTTAGAGGTCTTCAGAGGTAAGACTTTGTGTTTAGAGGTAACTTTGAATGTTAATTTTGAAATTACCACCATCAGGTAAAGCAGCAGGTGTCGTTATAAACACAATGAATGCAATATTAAGTGGGATTGGTTTTGTGGCGAGTTAACAGAGTACAGTCAAATGAATGTGATACAGAAATGTAAATAAGGGAACACTCATCTATTGGACAATGAACTTTGTACCCGCCTTATGTGAATGGAATCTACAGGTGACTCAATACAACCTTCGTCAGCAGTACCCGCACACAAGACGCGCCTCCGCTGGCAACAACGCGCTTTCAAAGCGAGTCTTGCGATAGGTGTTCAAATAAATAGCAAAACATTTTAATTGGAAATAATTTGTAGCCAGTTCTTTATTGTTGTTACTACGCAATGCTGCAAACCCGACGTCAAAGGGATTCCCGTCCAGTCATCTCTTTCTTTCGAAGAGCACCCTGTTAGTTTCGTCACGTTTCGTAGAATACTGTAACAGGTAAGGGGTGCGAGAGATATGAGCGAGCGTGTGTTGGGTTTATGGGAGCTAGCTACTGGAGTAGTTATTTGTACGAAGTACGCGTACCGAACGCTAACACGTAAATGTAATGTTCTGTTGTTTCGCTTGTATGGATTGCCTTTCATTAAAAAAAAAACATGTTTTATCTTGAATATTAAAGCCTCGTCGCTGCTCTAAGTTAAATAATTCTAGCGGATGTAAAAATTGTTCTTTTCCTCTCTACTAATGGAGCAAAAAAAGTTCCGTTTTAATTTCCAATTAAATTGCTCTTGGTTAATATGACAGCATAAAGTAATTACTTTTGTACAGCACCTGTCAAAAGTCACAGATAAAGGCTGCTCAAATGAGCATTGAGATGGTGCCCATCTCCTGTTTATAGCTCTGAAGCAATGCTGTAAATTCTACATTCTTCTGGCCGGGGCAAGTCTATCCATGGGACATACACCTGTTGACTTCCCAACAAAGTGGTACTCACGGTATTGACCTCTGTACGGATGACGGGCTGAGTCAACCCCCCAAACCGGGATTTGAACTCGTATAACTTTCTGATTGCGAGCCCGCCCGCTCTACCGCTGAGCCAGCTGGCTGTCACATCTTCACGGACGTGACAACAACAGCAGCAGCAGCACCACCAAGTATCCACCTATGCAGAGTTCGTCTAAAGCGGGACGTGTCCCTTAGAGCGGACCCGGGAGCGGCGAAGTTCACGCCGCCTGTGATGTCTGCGCCGACGTCGACGCTCTCGTGTTCCCTGTGAAGGACGCGCCACCCACCACGGCTCAGGCGCGACCCGCAGCCGCGATGAGGAACGCGTGGCTGCGCGCCTTCGTGCTGGCGTGCGTGCTCGTGCTGCTGCTGCTGCTGTTCTACGTCGCGCAGGACCAGAGCTGGGCAGAGTCCTGCGGACGAGGGCACAGCGAGTGGATGGCACGTTCGCGGTGAGTTCACACCACGGCGGTGCGGAAACCTCTCCCTCGGGGAGAGGGCCGACTGCGGCTTTCGAGTCCCCAGCGCACAACGGACCAGGCACCCGTTTTACGCGTTGTTTCACCCAACGAAGGACGTGAGCGGCGTCCAGTTTCCCACCAACCCCCCCCCCCCCCCGTGCCACCGATGTAAATATCCTTGACCAGGAATCGAACTCGGTGGGCTGGAATCTGAGTTGGGGAAAGCGAACCACTCGCAACACCGCCTCTCAGTTGTGACACACTGACACGCGGCAGCTGGACACCGCGTACATCTTCTGTGTGTGGCGTGAGACGTGGAATAACTTTAGCGAAAGCGTTTCGCCTTGTCTGACTCTCCTACATTGCTTATGCTATTACGTACAGTTTCAGTTTTCAGTTTCATTTACTTGGTTTTACCCTGTGAGCAATTCGGCTCTTGATTCAGGTGCAACCGCAACAAACAATAAAAATGCAAGATACATTTAAAATTTACTGCACGCAAATTGAAACATTCCCGATAACAACAATTAAAAAAAAGCACCGTATGTTTATGCTGCGTACAAAAAAATGTGCAAAAATCCCAGTTTGATGTCAGATCACAATAACAATCACAATACAATCTAGATTAAAATTATAAGTATAACTCTAAACTACAACGTACAAATATGGCTAAGCTAAACATTTTTAGAAATCACTAAAATATTGCTATAAAAACAACGTAACAGTGATCATTGGAAATGTGATTGAAAGTTAACAATAGCGAGACACGTAACATATATTACTAAAGCTAGCATCCTTAGCTAGCTGCATGAGTCAATCCATAATAGCAGGAGTATCAATAGTGGTAGCAGCACACTATAATCAAAATACATGATCATTTCTTGCATAGGTCATCCGTAGCGCTATATTTGATTTCAGGCCACTGGATAGCAGTGTCAGCTAGGGTTGGACGACTCCTCTAGCTTAGTTTTGAGTGACTATCTTATAGGTAGTGATCCAAGTTGGAGTTTAATTGCGACAGCATTCCAGACCCTGGGTGCATCAATAGCAAAGGCCCTTCCTCCAATATTTGTACGGCAATAAGGAATGCGAAGCTGGTAAATGAATGAAGATCTTAGCTCATATTTGTTTTTCGAAACAATGAGGAGATCCAGCAGGTAATCTGCGGATTTTTTGTAAGTACATCGTAAATAAATAAGATCTGATGCATAAGCCGTCGATCATTAAGAGATGTTAAGTTTGACCCAATGGATAGATCGCAGTGATGGGTCCTATATGGGCAGTTCAATGCAAATCTTAAGGCCGAGTGATATATTGAGTCAAGCTTCCTCAGAACAGTATTTGGAGCTGATTTATAAATGATGTCACAGTAATCAAGTAGAGGTATTATGGTATCTTTTATCAATTCCAAATGGAACATAAGTGGAAAACAGTGTATATGTCGATACAGAAAACCTATTTTTATTTTTGTCTTTTTACCAATATAATCAATGTGTTCTTGAAAATTCAGTTTTGAGTCAAAGATGACCCCAAGATACTTATAGATCTTGACTTGCTCTATTTGATCATTATCTTTTGAATGTAATTCGGGGAAAACAACGTCCTGCTTTAGTCCTGGTGAGAAGCATAGGGCAATTTGCGTTGATACTATTGATTGATAGACCAGGTGAGAGCCCATTGAAATTTTATGGCTCTTGTTTAACTGTCATCCTGGTAACAAGTAAGAACCATCACCATGGAACAAAAGACAGCATACCAAGCTGTAACAACTCAACCAAGGTAATAGCAATGGTCGCAGTGAAATGTATGGGAAAAATAAACACAGCAAAATGTATTTACTTAACACAGTTACGGTGACGTACAGCCCTTTGCCAATCCGTTACTGGATGAAGGCCCCCCATACCTTCTCAAACGTGGGGTTTATTTGATGATACTTCACCACACTTGTAATGAAGCCAGCCAGCAATACTTTTTTTTCTAATAGAGCATGATGCATGTGAAACGTTTCACTGCATGCATTTTTTCCCATATACAGGATGATCCATTAACAGATAGCCCCACAAAAAATAAGAAGAAAATTATATAGTAAACAACATTGTATTTCAGAGCCTTTACGTCTACCACCAATATGAACAAAGTCATCAAATATTTCGACGAGGGGGCCTTCACTTTCCCAGCATTAAATCACTTTGTTAATCAGAATCAGAATCAGAAAGGGTTTTATTCGCCATGTAAGTTCACACCGACACGGAATTTACTTTGGCAGGATGGTGCATACATTCAACATATAGGAATCTAAAATCTTAAATAAGTTTTAAACAAGTCTTACTATAATAAGGGTTAAAAGTCTAACACCAAGGGGCTGAAGTATATAAAATTAAATAAATATCGAATATAAAATAGCTTTAAGATATAATTTAAAAATAAAAAATACAAATAGGGTAACATAGTTAATATCGGCAAGGTGTCGTTATGTAGATCAAATGTTAAAAACAGTGTTAGCCCTTGGCCTTGTTTAACAGGCCAGCAGCAGATGGGAAGAAACTGTTTTTATGGCGTGAGGTTTTGGTCCTGATGGACCGAAGCCTTCTGCCGGAGGGGAGTAGCTGAAACAGAGAGTGTCCAGGGTGGGAGAAATCGGCCATAATCTTCCTCGCTCGCCTCATGGACCTTGTCGTGTGCAAGTCCTCGAGGGTTGGTAGATTGCAGGCAATTACCTACTCAGCAGTGTGGATGATATGCTGCAGTCTGCTCTTGTCCTTGGCAGTGGCAGCAGCGTACCAGATGGTTATGGAGGAGGTGAGGATGGATTCAATGATCGCTGTATAGAATTGCACCATCATTGTCTTTGGAAGGTTGAATTTCTTCAGCTGCCGTAGAAAGTACATCCTCTGTTGAGCTTTCTTGGTGAGGGAGCTGATGTTCAATTCCCACTTGAGGTCCCGGGAGAGAATAGTGCCCAGGAAGCGGAAGGACTCTACAATTTTGACTGGGGAGTCTAACAGGGTGATGGGGGTGAGTGGTGCTGTATTCTTCCTGAAGTCCACAACCATCTCAACTGTCTTTAGAGCATTTAGCTCTAAGTTGTTCTGGCTACACCAGGTCACCAGATTGTCAGCTTCCCACCTATAGTGGGAAGCTGACAAAGTACGAGTCATACATTGGATATCAGTGGAGTGTCTATAGATGGATCGCCCTGTGCTCTCGCGTAAACTTCAATGCCCTCCTCCAGCCCCCACGTCCCCCCACCGCCAAAATTCAGGGTCATAAATCGTTGATCTCGTCTCGTTTTTAACCATCTCCATCGGAGTGTTTTTCTTTTTTTTCCGTCTCCTTTGAACAATTCAGTTCGCAGCATTGGACTCAATGTAGCGTCCGGCATATATTCATTTGCGCAGGATATAAACAATTGATTCTCGCCCGAGCGATTCGATGCGCGCGTGATCGGTAATCTTGGCGGTCGTAATCGACGAGCCGTTGGATTGTTGCACGCCTAATATTTATCCGGTTCACATCGCTACGCCGTTTCACGTCCTCCAACTGAAGGCCGCGTTGAAGACGCGAGGCGTCGTCTCGTTGACTCGCTCCTCCCAAACAATGTTTTCCCCCGACGAACCTCATCGAGGGGGCCGCAGCTGTTACCTGGCGCCCCTCGTGACCTGGGGTCGGATTCTCCCGCCAAAGCCAACGGGCACGGACGCGGCGGCCGCCCCAACCGCGGAGCCCGCGGCGGCACCGGCGACCCCGACGGCGTGGGACCCGGACCGCGGCGAGAGCGTCGACGCGACGGTCAAGGAGTGGCTCGGCGCGAAGGGGAAGAGCGGCGACGACGACGACGATTACCGTCCGGAGGCGAACAAATTCGCGGGGGTGAGCTCGCCGACACGCACGACGGCACGGCTCGAGGGGAGTCGTCACGGCGGCCGCCGTGCGGAGCTGCCGGTCGGATTCTCCGCACGCCGGCCGTTACTTAAGGGTGGTGGTGGGGGGGGGGGAATGATAACGGGGACACGACAGCTAAAGTAATGATAGAAGACAGACCGATCTGTACGGAAGGTTAAGTGTGATGTAGTTCCCCCTTATCACCAGTGATAGCCAATATCTTTATGGAGAAATTTGAAACAGATGCCATCCAGACATCCACCCTACGTCCTTCCTTGTGGAAGAGATACGTAGATGACACTTTCGTCATTTGGCCACATGGCCTGCCAGCATTGAACCAATTTCTCAACCACATTAATTCCATACACCCATCCATCAAATTGACCATGGAAGTGGAGAAGGATAGTAAGCTACCATTCCTGGATGTTATGCTTGAGAAGAGACCTGATGGCTCTTTGGGACACTCTGTCTACAGGAAAGCCACCCACACAGATTCCTATCTGAAACCTGATTCCCACCACCATCCGGCACAGAAGAATTCCCTCATCAAAACACTACACCATAGGGCCCACTGCATTTCTGACCAACACCACCTAGCCAGTGAACTGGAACACGTACACCAGGCCCTCAAGATGAATGGGTACTCAGGACCGTATTATTCGCAAAGCTGTTTCTCCAACCAGGGAGAAGCAACCCCCTGAGACGCCGATCAAAACCATCACGTTACCATACACAGCAGGCGTTACCAAAAAGATTTCCAAAATCTTAAACAAACACAAGTTCCAGGTCCGATTCAGTACAGTACACAAAATCCGTGATCTAATCCCATCTGTGAAGGATGCCATTCCTGACATGCAATATTCTGGAGTCTACAAACTAAGTTGGAACCTGTGGTGATTGTTACATTGGGGAAGCGAAACGACATGTGTCGGACCGTGTTCGCGAGCACAAGTCAGATCTGAAACACGGCAGAACTTATTACCTCCACCGTGGCTAAACCATTGCTATAACGCTGAGGGCTCTCATGATATTGTTTTTTTCCGAGACCAAGGTACTCTGCAAACCTTCGGGCTACTATCAAAGGTTTGTTCATGAAGCCATCCAGATTTATAAACACAGACATAACTTCAACCGGGAAGATGGATACAAATTGAGCAATCATTGGAAGGATGTTATTAACCAGGTAAAACCTTAACTGTTTCATGGTTTGCCTTCATATCCGCATCTCCAGTTTCTTCAGCCTCCCACTCCCAGCCCCGCTCACTTTCCCTCCCGCCCCCGGCATTTTGTCGTGCACGTGTCTTGGCTTGCAGCACTCCACTCCCCCTACCCCACACCCCCGTCTCTATCTCTCCTCCCTGGCTCCTCCCCCCCCTCTCTTACCTATATAGCCTCTTGTCACAGCAGCTCTTTGCTATCTTCAGCAATTTTTCTTGCTGTGGTTGTCCCACCTGATGATGGACGTTTGTGTTGCGCCCGAAACGTCGTGATGACATTTATTTTATTTTTAATACCTACGTGACTTTACCAAAAGAACCAAAGAGTATGTGTTGTTATTATTAGAGACACCCTAGAGAAAACCGGTCAAATTGATCAAAGAAAAGTTCCGAAAATTGACGACAAAAAAAATCACCACCGAAAGTGTTCCCCTTTCAAGACAAAGATGTATTTACCGGCGCATCGTGATGTCACACATCATGCCACACGTCACGATGCAGCTTGGAACGTAGCATTTTTATTATTACGACCGCTAATTTGAATACTTCCGAGGACAAACGATTTTGGAAAGAGTTACAGATCACACACGTCATGCGTGATCGCCGACGACCACAGCCATGAATAATGGGTTCGAGTGCAAAGGAGCCAGCAGCCGAAGGGCATGCGTAAGTACAGGCCGCTGGCCAATCCACTGCTGGATGAGGGCCTCCCCACACCGTGTCAGTCATGAGATGGGGGATTGTACTTTACCACGGTGGCCAGCGCAGGTTGGTGAAGGTGAGGAACGTAGATGTGGGATCACAGTAATAGTACAAGAATGGATTTTGCTGCACGGCTCTTTACTGCCTACACCGTTGCCCCCACAGCTCCTTATGCCACCTGTGTTTTGTGCGTGGTGGTAACCCATCCCAGCACTATCCTGCCTCAAACCTGCTTAGCTTCTGAAATCCAGCAAGAGTCGGGAGCAGTACAGCAACATTGCGCAAAAAGCACTCTGCACTGTCTTGGTTGATTGTGGGTACTATGCACTGTGTATTGTCATGTGCGTATACTGACTGGAGGTGCATCCCAGAGTTCATGGCTTTGGGGTTGGTGGATCATGCCAACATCACAATGTGCATTAGGACACTCACATGTAAAAAAAAAAAGCTCAATTCGAAAATTGGATAAACCTTCGAAGCGAGAGCCTCTTGCGGAGGAGTCACGAGACTCCGTTTGAGTTAAGGATTCATTTTGCCAATACAGTTGCTGAGCATAGGCCTACAAGCCCAGAACACCAAGTGGCCAGCAACAAACAGCACTATTGAAAGTGTAATAGATAATATTTAATAGCCACAGAAAGGAGAATCTCCCCCCCCCCACCCCACCCCCTGTGGTGTGGATAAAACATGCTCTCTCTCTCTTGGGCCTTATTCAGATACTATCTCCCTTGTAGATGCCAGCGTAACCTCTTGTGGATTTGATTGACTTAGAACTGCGGACGGAGCCTGCGCGGGGTGACTGCTGCGGACCAGACCCTCAAGTCCGTATTCCGCTTCGACCTTCCTGTGCTTCTGTGGAGCGACCACATCACCGCGAGCGAATTCGAGCGCCTGAGCTATTACCGCACTCCCTACGGCTGGAAAGGGATGAACTGGACTGGTAAGGCCGACGCCGTTGCAAATGTTTCGTTGTTGTTGTTGTTTTCTCTCCTTCCATTTGCTGCGTTGCTATCACCGTCGTGTCGTGAGAAGACGTTCAGGACTCTCAGAGAGAGAGGGTGGGGAGGGGGAGGGGTCATCGCTTCCACTAAAGACAATTGCCAGTCGAAGGAGCTAGGGGCCGTCCATAAATGACGTCACGCACCTGGGGGGGGGGGGGTGTCAGGCATTTGTGACGATGTGTGACGAGGGGGGGGGGGGTGGGGGTTTGAGTAATGTGACGTCACATCAAAATGCGCAACTTTAAATAAATATAGGCACAACACGTTCTACTTCATTAAATATACTTTTTTTTTTATAAATGTGTTCTCCTACGACATCAGAGTGCAGCGGCACATTCAATACGCAACTACAATGACAATAGTTTAAAGCGATTTGGAGCATGTTTTATATATTTTTTGGGGGGGGGCAGAGCTTTGTGACGTCATATTTGAGAGGGGGGGTCTGACTTTTTGTGACGCCGTGTGACGAGGGGGGGGGGTCAAAATCGTCAAAAATCGCGTGACGTCATTTATGGACGGCCCCCTATCATCTGAGCCCTTCAACTGATATACTTTTTTTATCCACACACACGCACACTATGGGATGATGAACTTTCCCATATGCGATCTTACACAGGACTCTTTGTCACATGGCAACCTGATCTTTTTTCGAATTCTCGATGTTAAAAATGTTTTATTTAACACGATGGCGTTTTTGTTTGTGCACAGTCATTGGTGACCGGCCTGAGAGCACCAACTCGCAAAACTTTTGAATTCACAATTTTATCACTATATATATTCTTGGTTCTTTCGGTAAAGTCACGTAGAAGGAAAACAATAAAATAATAAAAATATAAAACAATACAATTATCACGACGTTTCGACTGCAACACAAGCACTCATCATCAGGTGTGAAAACCACAGCAATAATTTTTTTTTTCAAATTTTCTTGCTGTGGTTTTCACACCTGATGATGATTGCTTGTGTTGCAGTCGAAACGTCGTGAGAATTGTATTGTTTTATATTTTTAGTATTTTATTGTTTCCCTTCTACGTGGCGACTTTACCGAAAGAACCAAGAATATGAATCCCTGCGGTCACGAAAGCTTTAAATCAAAATTTGATCACAGTCGGCTAAAACGCCAAATTCAAACCCGGGTTCTGAGCGGTACCAGCTCAGCGCTCTGACCTCTGAGCCACCCAGCCAACGCATAATTCCCGTTTAATAAATGTAGTTCTATTTCTGGTGCCAGCTGTGCCACCTTCCAGCCCCCTGGATTCGGGTGGTGGTGGTGGTGGGGGTGGAGGTTAACGTTTCTTTAACATTTGTTAAACATTGACCGTGTTGTGCCCACCCTGAGATTTTGTCCGCTGCCCCCTTCGCACGTGCTTATGTGGAACTTCTTTCGCACCGTACATAGCCAACCATCGTGCTAATCGGAGGTGCACGATTCAGCACGGTGGGCTACACAGCGTGACCTTTAAAACAAGGTCAACTATGTATGGCCGCCGTCTCGCCTGCTTCCTCCCCCCCGCCCCCTCGCGCGTTTCGATCACGCAGACTTGGAGGAGGCGAAGGAGGCCCTGGGGCGGCCCGAGCACCGTGAGATGTTCGAAGTGGCGACGCGCGAGCGCGGGCCGACGGCGGCGTGCGTGCGCTGCGCCGTCGTGGGGAACGGAGGCATCCTTGCCGGCTCGGGCAAGGGCGAGGAGATCGACGCTCATGACTACGTGTTCAGGTAGGAGCCGCTGCGAGCGTTGGACGAGCGTCGACGCGGGTTAGGGTCGTTGAGTCAGTTCATCGGTCATCGTTTTCGGGGGAAATCATTGGATCGACGGTCGGATCCAGTTCAACCTCGAGCAACGTTTGAACCGATCGGCGCACGCGATCGGTGGTCAGCGGCAGCCAATCAAAAGGTACTGTCGGCAGGGCTCATCGGTCTCCGCGTGGTGCTCTTGAACGGACAAAGATCCCCCCCCATATAGCCTCAACAGACTTTTGGGGCAAGTGCCGTTAGCGAGCACCTATAAAGGCCAGCACGGTACACGAATGGGGGGTGGGTGACCAGCACCGCGCCTGACCACCTTTGAACGACCACCTTTGAACAGACACACAAACACGCGGGGCTTTGCTGCTACATATATATTTTTTATTGCTAAGATATTCCAATGGTGCTGTTTGTTGCTGGTTGCTCAATGTGCTGAGCCTTTGGACCTGTGCTCAGCAACCGAACCCTCTGCAAACGACGAAGCGAACTTTGACTCCGTGAAAATCCATGCAGTGATCCAAACTCTCAAAAACTAAGGCATCCATGAAAGAGTAAATGGGTAAGACAGAAACACAGACAATACAAAGTGCACATGAGCTAGGCTACTAAATGCATTGATTGTTTACCCACATAGAATGTGGTTGAAGACAGGGAATGCGCCATTGTATTTTTTTGTATTGTTTCTTGAAGTAATTGGGCACTTAGAAGACTGGCAAGCGTGCATGCAAGACATTTTATTTTAACGTACCCTTTTATTGTGCCACCAGCGGATAATCACGAGTCGTACGGTACAAGTTCACATATCCGACCCACGGATATCCACCCCAATGAATAAACCGTCCCGCAGCCAGTGCAGCATTTGTGGACTGTTGTACGGATCATTCTGTTTCCATCTTCAAAACCCCTGGCCTTTGCACGACATCCGCCTGTGCGTGCGTCTGCCGTGAGTCGGATATGCGCGCGTTGTACTGCGTGCACGATGCGTCCGGGTGACTGTGTGTGTGTGTGTGTGCACTCAAGGGTGAACGGCGCCATAACAGCCCATTTTGAAAAGGACGTTGGAACAAGAACCTCGTTCTACTTTTTTTCGACAAACACCTTGGCAAACTCGATGGCCGCATACAAGCATTTCGGGTTCCAACACCCGCCGTGGTCAGAGGTAACTCTTCTCTCCTCCTGGCCACACAGTCGCCGGCTTCATGCATGTGAGCGATTGACAGGGCAATAGACATCGGACATCCGAGACATCCGCAAGTTGCAGGGTGGGGGGTCCCGCTCATCGCTGAATCTCGGAAAGCGCAAGTGGTTAGCACTAATTTTATTTATAGAGGCATAGCGCGCTGCTTTTAAGGACATTGTACTCACCGCAGAGAACTGTGACGACACGACCGCACTCTGTGATAGCTGGTGCCAAACTGTGCCACGCTCCCTCCCGCATCGCCTCTTACTTGCAATTTCATCCGGAATCGGAGGGAAAACTCTCCGTTGTCATCATAACTCTCACGTACATCATCGGAATGGGAAAGGGTTAAGCTGGAAGAGCCCAATGACCTATGAAGCTCGTTTCCACAGGTGTCCAGCCCAAGCTCGGTTCGGCAATGGTGGAAATAAACTGGGGAAATTACGTTGCTCGATAAATGAAACGATCGCACGTAAACTCGACCGTACAGAAACTCAATCGTCCAGAAACTCGAACAAAGCAACATAATAATATCGGGCAAAAATAACAGCAATAATAATAAATAAAAAATAGTAGTGCAAATAAATAACAAATGACACTTGCAATTTCACAGCTGTCCGCCCATGGGGCCATAGCGGATATAGAGCAGTGAGTTCAAGTCCACTTCTTGATGGTAAATTCACCAGATCGAGAGAGGCCTCAAGGACGGCCCAAAGAGTGCATGCTGCAGCAATGAAGGATTTGTCAACGACGTTCATCTCTGCCTGCCAGACGATCGCCTTACACGTCACTCGAACTTGCCATCGGCGACGATAAAACATTTTACTTTTTTTTTATAATTCTCAACTTCACATCGGAAATAACGTTAATCCCAATCGTACATTGCAACCCATTATTTTTTCATCAGTCGATCTTTAGAACCCGTTAGTCCAGACATGGGCAACGTATACGGCCTCCGGGCCGTCCTCTTATCAATCTCAGCCCGTTGGGCTTTTTAATCCGGCCCGCCGAACTTGACCAAATATTATTATTGAATTAAATTTTACCTTTCTCCTGTAATGCCCCCATTTCCCCATTAGATGGCGCACTTTGACCGGGAGTTACGACATGTTTTTGTATTGTTCATGTTCGTGCAATTTGTTAAATTGCCTTGCAAATAAATGCTTTGCTACCTGTTAAAGGCCAAATAATTTCATGTAATGATTTTTACACGTCATTTATATTTAGTTCACAAAAACACTCCATCCATCTGTTTCCTGGCCCGGCCTCTCTGTCAAATTTTAGAACCCATTGTGGCCCGCGAGTCAAAAAATTTGCCCACCCCCTGCGTTAGTCATTGTGATGGTTGATTCTCGAAATGCTTATTTGTGAAAATTAATTTGTTGCGCGTCAGAACTGCTGGGTGTAATGATGTTTGTCGATGTGATGTTTATTTTTTTACTTTGTCGCAGGAGAACCTCTCTGCTGCTACAATGCGTGCATTCATCCGCAGGTCTCCCTCGAAGATGAGACGTGGTCTCGACAGGGTCTTACCTGGCCTTATAGGACTTTTAAACGTGAATGTAAATCTGGCAGTAATGTTAAACGTGAATAGGAACTCTGCACACGAGTATTAAGCACCTATAATACCCGTGAAGCAACACGATTAAAATGTCCTTGGGTTACTCTCCCATCAAAATCACAGTTTGATGCAAAGCCATCGATTCTGCACGATAACGTCACCTGCAATTGCATTGGACATACTTTCTTGTTTCGATTCAGTGAGAGCTTTAGCATTTGTTCAACACCCGGTGATGCTGGTTGTAATCTCCAGCGAAACATCGGATAAAAGTTGTGAAAAGTAAAACAGATTTGTTTATACAAAAGCCATTGGCATGTTTGCTCACTTGACAACTCGATTTGATTGTCTCAGTCGGGTGGTGGAGGTGTAGAGTTAAAACAATTTACGTTGTACCTTCATGATTCTAACCTTCTCCTTGTGCTCAATCCACGCCTTCGCTCTTTTTCTTTGCTTGCCCACCCCCCCTTTCACTGGAACAAACTTGCCCCTCAACATGAAACAGTCACCCTCGCTCACCAGTTTCCGCTCCGCACTCAAATCTCACTGATTATAATCAGTTAGTTATTGCTCCCAAGGTCACCCCACGACCCCTTAATACCCCCCTCATAACAGCCACCGTTAACTGTTCCCTCTTCATATTCTCATTACATGGCTTTTACTCATCCCCCAATTTCGCTTTTACTGAATTCACGCATCACAGAATTGCCCATTGTTTCCTCTTATCAATCTCATTCACCTCATCTCCACCATTACATTCATATGTACTGTATTGTTAATTTTGTGTAAAAGCGCCTTGAACAATGCGCAATATAAATTCTATTAAGATAACATAATATTGGTCGTGAAAGCCTACGTGTAAATGTACAGGTAGTCCCCCGACTTACGATGGAGATGCGTTACGACGACCCCATCGTAAGTCGAAAATATCGTAAGTCGGACCGTCGTAAGTCGGGAACTACCTGTATATCCTTATTTGTTTACACATTAGTGGATACGTCTTTAAAGTTTCTGTAGCTTAAATGTAATTGTACGATGGTTCAGTATCAAAAATAATCCGCCCGAGCCGATTTACACTAGATCGTACATTTATATTTGAGTTACACAAACATTAAACAGTGGTCTCTAACTTAAATTTAATTGTACTATGATTATTCTTACAAAAATCTGCCCGAGCCAATTTACACAGCGGGGATGTTATTCTTTCATGTACATTTATTTCTGCATCGTATTTTATATACCTCATGTGATACAATGCTTATGCCCTGATTTCTGTTTTGTTTAATCGCTGTTTTTAACGTGTGATTTATTTTCCTTATGTCATGTTTGATTACCCAGGTCACTCTTGCAAATGAGACCTTATATTCTGGTCTATCGAGTACTCATCTGGTTTAAACGTTATAACTTGATTCTGAGCCCCCAAACTCTCTGTACCAACCCCGATCTGTGTTCCTTAGGAAACCAGGTACGTGTTTGTGCCATGCGGGCATCAGGATTATTACATGGTGACGGCCGCTGTGAAGGGTGTGACCGTGTCCAAGGGCCCTAATAAATACCAAAGGTGGGTGGATCACAACACTGCTGTGACTACGCTCCTTTTTACACTGGCACATCGGAGCCATGCCAGTACGTAGCCCTCCATCAGTTGAACACGTGGGCTTTCACGACCAACATTATCCATAATGGAGTTTTTGTTGGGTTAGCAGATCGATGTGCTGAACTAGTAACGAATTGACATGTTTTGTTTACACGACAAACCTTACTAATTGGCTGTGTCAGGTGGTGGCGGGTTTAACGGACACATTTATATTTATGTACCGGTTATATGCAAAGCTGAGCCGTTACCAAACCGTAAAATTCTGGCCTCACGAGACATCTGAATCCGAGCGGGGTAAATATAACTTTAATTTTACATTCATTGTTCGTAACAATGCCTGGTTTCTGCAGTGGAAAAGTAACCTGGCGCCTCCTGACCCACACCAGGCTGGATGGGCAAAGTCCCTTGGTTATGCAGTGGGAAAGAGGTACAAGACACTGCATGTCCATTTGGCCTCTCGTGATTTTGGCTCGCCATAGGTTTCATTTGACCTCAGCCACTTAGTCCGGTTGAGGCTGGCGTCAACACTGGCGTGTTTAATCAGAGTTATAATGCTTCGGAGGTGAAAGCTCCGGCGCTTACGAAGGTCGCCGTGATATATGATCGCGTTAGTTTTAGGAATAGTGTTGTTCAATAGGCTGAAGGTAAATATTTGCTTGATTTCCATTTCAATACAATAAGTAGAGTCAGCCCAGTACATTAAAGCTGTAGTTAAACAGTGCAACTTTACACTGTCATTGTTAATCGTGGTTTTCTCCATTCCACACGGACCGCAACAAAGAGGAATTCAAGTTTGCGTGCAGTTCGCGAGCCCCCTGCTCTGTAACAAAGTCACGTGAGAGATATATTTTTTCTCTGATTGGCTAGATGTAGGGGGGGGAGGGGTGTGTCGAATGTTTTTTTTTATGGCAACACGGATGTAAACATGGAACATGACAGAATGTTTCCCTCTGCGACAGCATTGCAGTGTTCTACAAGAAAACAACATTAATCTATCTTTATAAATGTCAATAACCCACTCGCATTGGTTGTCCACCTTAGCACAGGGGTCAGCAACCAACATAACGAGATGATAATATTTTTTTTCGAATTCAGTAAAATACTCAACATTTCAAGAGCCGCAATTGTATGTAAATAACATTACGGAGCAGCCCTTAAAGAGCTACAGGTTGCTGCCGATCCCTGACCGAGCACCAGCAAACAGGTCGCTGAAACAGCGACTATACAAATAGATCTTGATTTGAAGCTTTCGTGACTGCAGGAATCCATATTCTCTGGTTCTTTCGGTAAAGTCACGTAGGTATAAAATCATTTATTTTATACAAATAGACTCTCTCACTGAATCAAGAATCACTGTTGATCATCATTACGTACCCGTTCAACCTTCAAAGAATGCAACACAATTACATGCAGAGAATTTGCACCGTTTAAGTTGGGCCATAGGCCACGACCATTCCTGTCATGCTCAAGAGCTCCAATAATAGTAAATCTGATATATGACCAACAGACTGTGTTGATATCTGGCCTAACACAGCCCTATAATGGTTTTCGTGTCGCGTATACCTGTATATCTTCCGTGGTTTATTGGTGTCAATTTTGTTCTTGGATTACCTGTCCTATTGATCCTTATTGGAAATTACTATTTAAGATGTGACTTTGCTAAACCTCAGACATTGATAAGAGAATGCAATTATTGGGTGAAATGTCCCATGGCTTGCTGCAGTTGCCTTTATCGGGTGCCAGAGCCTCGCATTAATGTTTGTCGCTGGACGATCATTGAGCAATTTATATTAACACAAAATTCACATCTGGGATGTTTTTACTCTTGCAGTCCTCACACGTATTTTGGGAAAAAAGATGTAAAGAAAAAAGTGAAAATGCTCCATCCTGATTTTCTGCGATACCTGAAAAACAAGTAAGTGTATGGCTCTCTTCTTCTTGATCGTAAAAGTGGTCAATTGCATATATATTTAAAAGATCATTTTAATTTAAGTCAGGGTCTTAACATTATCATGGCCAATGCTGATGATGACACCACACCTTGCCGTCACTCGTCTCCTTCTCGCAGATTCCATATTTTATGTAAAGTCAACAAGTGACCTTCAAATTCCTCTCTCTTGCTCTCTCCTAACAACTGGCGTTAGGTTTTGCCCATGGTTAACGACCTCTGGGTGCTCTCTCCAATGCCTGTCTCGGCAACCTGTCCCTCCTCCATCCTAGACACGTGTCCCGCTCGTCGCAACCTCCGTATCCTGATTGCACCCACAGAATGTTGTTGCCACGTTCAATTCCGAACTGCCAAGTTTCTTGCCCCGACCCTTCTGTGAAACACCTCACATCCACTGTACGCATCTGTAATCAAAGGCGAGGCGTTCATATGATGGTTTCTTTGTTAACAGTACAACTTCCTCAACCCATTACAGTAGCACGGATGTTATTTTTTTTATATTAATCGCAGCACTTTGACAATCGACCGTTTGTTTAAGGCCTCCCCGTGCCATGTCGGACATGGGGTTTGTTTTTTACCAATCTCCACATTGATCACTGCAGATTGAAGGGGGGAGGGAACCCTGGACCAGTTCAAATATCGCCCACCACTGATGTTAGCCATGGCTGAGAATCTAACTAAATTTTGACTGGATTTATAGCACAGTGCTACCACTCCACCCCACCACTCTTTATACTCGACTAATGCTTCTAAGTGTGCCTCCACATCAGCTTCCTGTGTAATTCCTGTCCGTGATCAACCCCATTGCGCAGTGCGCTACTGACTCACCGCTTATTAATTGGCTGATAACACCTTAATAGATGGAGGACCGCAGAGCATCAGGGGGGATTTGGCGCCGTCTCACTGGCTAGCTTTCCCGCTTGTAATTGGTCTCTTGTGCCTCTAAAGCCATTCTCTCACTCTCTTCGACTGTGAGCGAATACTGTGTGGCGGGTTACAAGCTGAATTGATTGCGACTATAGCCGTATATAGCCGTATGTGATGTAAACATTGTGATGAGTTTCCAGATCTATCTTGAAATGCAAAGCTGTATCGTAATATTCATATTCTTGGTTCTTTCGGTAAAGTCACGTAGATAGAAAACAAAAATCAAAATTAAAAGCAAAAAACCCACGACGTTTAGTAATGTAAAAGGCACAGTTGATAAATATAAATACGATACATTCATACAAATAAGACAGAGTAATGGGTTTAAAAACTTTATTTAATGACTTTTGAATACACAAAGTGCGCTCGTATTTTATTGTATGCTATGCTCTAGCTGTGGTTATGTATGGAATGTATATGTTGGAGTTGCATATGCAGTTAAAATGTGTACCGTAACACCAGCGCACAACGGGTTACTTTTAATAAAGATAAAGTCGCATGGTCTGTTAATGTTAACTATGAACAACATGTACACCCCTGCCCATGGACCACAGCTTCCTCCCATCCACACTTTTACAAACTCGATTCAAGGATATTTACAGACCAAGTACTGGTGCCATTGCTCTGCTCACTGCCCTGCACACCTGCGATCAGGTACGGCGGTTAAGGCTGGTTCCCACCTACCAACACCGCATCACCAAGCACACGTTTATGACATTTTCAACGTTTCCACCTTAAGGTCGAAAGCTCCATTATTACGGTTTTTGAGTCAAGTCATAGAAAAAGTGCGTCGTAATCCCTCCTCTATCTGACACAGACAATTAATAAAAGTGCCACTTGAACAAACGTGCAACAGTTATTACTGCTTCAGCATGCAAGTGTTGTTTTTGGAGAGTAATTTCACAATATTTAAATTGGTATGACCTTTTTGTTTACATTTTAGTTTTACATTTTAAAAAAATGTGTTTCAATTGGTAGGACGTTTTTGCTTAATAATACATCAAGCATCATCAGGCTAACAGCTCAGATCTACAGTGAAAGGAGCTTCCTGATCCAGGTCCTACTATAATATGAAGGTTTAGTTGCTCTTCAGGACATTAACCTAAGCACACTGGTGACATTTATCAAATGGTTGCTGGTGCCCTCCCTGGTAGAGCCGGTATGAAGCTTTGTTGTCTCGTTACAGACTAGGAACGTCCTAAAAAAACACCAAAGAAATATTAAATTATCTCAAACACAACTATCGGCAGTGGCAGAACATGCTTGTCAACAAGTACATTCAATTGATTTTGATAACGTTGAAGTGTTGTGTAAAACTAATTATTACTGCCAAAGACTAATTAGAGAATCCATTGAAATTGAGAGAAATAGAAATAACTTTAATCGCTCTGATAGCGATAGGCTTAGTGCGGCTTGGAAGCGTATTATTAAATAATACATATTACAATTCCTTATAGGGGAAACACATACTAATTAACGGATTACTAACGTAGCATATAATCACAATAACACACATTACAACTCATTACTAATCTACAACTCATTACTAATCATAACCATTGACTGATTACCAATCGATTATATAATTACTGCACCTGAATGAATTAAATGATGACGTCACCCTGCTGCTCTATTTAAGACCGGGAGCAAGTGAGGGCTTTACCATTCTGGCGAATTGCCCGATGATGCTGGATGTAATTACCAGCGAAACGTCGTACTCAAACTGTAAATGTTGTGGATTCACTCTTCAACACACCGGTGGGCTAAAGTAGTGAACTATTTGTCTTTTGTCAACGTGACACTTTTTTTCTGATTGGCCGTGTCGGGTGGTGGAGGGTTACGACACATTTATAAATAACGCAATCTAACTCAAAAACCTTTATTATGAATAGGAACGTCCTGTTCTTATCACTAATTAAATACTTTCGAGGACAATCATGCATATTCAGGATTTTTCTAACTTGGCGAAGCTCTAAGCTTTAACCTAACTGCAGTTTAAATACAGGAAGGGCATTTGGTGTAGACTCTGTTAAAGACTGATGCCCCTATTTTAACTTGAGATGTTACGGACATGTATTATCTCGTTTGCCTGCTAATACTCAAGAGACAATAATTAATATACTCTATATGCAAAGATAATTGTCAAACATTGGAATTAAACCAGCAGACAAGGGCGGAATTGACCAAATTATAAAATAGGATTATACATATCCATTTTGAAGTACTGTCCACTGCACCCATTGAGATTTCTCTGCCATTGGGGTCCATGTGACGTGGGAATTGTACCGACAGTCATTTTGCCATTCACTACTCCTCTTAGTATTCACCCTCCTATTGCCTACTCCTCAAATTGATTTGTGGATCTTCCTGTTATCCATACGACAATGCTTCCTGTTATCCGCGCTTACCTTCAGATAAGAGCGGTAAACTCAGAACTTATGGAAAATTCATCTTATATTTATTTGAATTTATTAGCACGGATAAAAAAAGAAAGTGCATGGATCTGCTAATAGCATATCCAATAATTTATTAAAGTCTTAATTAGGGTCTTCAATTGCAGGTTTCTGCATACGGATTCATCACCAGCAACTACAACAGTTTTCCAGACCACTACTTCGATCCAGTCCAGCAGCTTGTCTTCTATGCCAACCATGACATGAACTTCGAGAGGATGTTGTGGAAGATGCTTCGAAAGCTCAGGGTCATGACCCTGTATCAGCGTCGGAACGCCAAGGACTGAGATGGCCTCTGCAGTAGTCAGGAAGAGCGTCGTCCTAGCTGGTAGAATTTTAGAAAAACATGAAAGAGTTCTTGAAATAGGTTAAAGCAGAATCAGTGCAGGTTACTGAAGGTCGTGAGACTCTTTATATAAACTATAAACTATTTTTATTTTATTTTACCAGGTAAGGCCTACTGAGCTATGAAGCTCTTTTTCAGAAGCAACCTGGCCACAAATGAAAGCGCAACAAAGTGGCTCCCCATGTGGAAATATATAGCAGCCAAATACTCTAAACGCATGTTGCTAAATCTGGAGGGAACAACCGGAGTACCCGGATCCACGTGACCACGGGGAGAGCATGCAAACTCCAAATATACAGGCACAGGGTTGGGGTCGAACCCCCAACCTATATACCAGGTGAAGTAGATATAAGAGGAACAAGCAACAACCTGTGAATATTTGTTCACTAAAGTTCCCAAGCTTATATACATAGCTGTCAAGTTTGGAGACTGCCAAAATGTGAGACAGCAGGGTAAACATGAAGCTTAACAACCTTCCACATGGCAGTGAAACAGGTGCGCGATCAACATTTTAGATGTAGATTTACAGTCCAGATTGCCTCGTCGGCTGTGGTGGGGAGGGGTGCGAACCTTTGCACTTCAGGGTGGGCACTTTTTATTGCTGGCCACAGAGAAAACCAGAATGTTTGTCCGCGCTTGATACGAATCGATATCCCCATCACCGATGGGTGTGGAATCCGCTTGCCCTGCTCTGAGATTGTAAAGTGGCTCCCGCGTGTTAAAGATACCAAACATCCCAGTTTCAATAAGGCTGGTCTGGTGTTCGGAAACGTTGACGAAAATTGCGGTTTTTGTCCCGGTTTGAAATTTGTTTGGCCTCGGCGTCATGATAGGAGCAAAGGACGGGGATAGTTATTGACTGGGTGTGGCTTTTATTAAAGTGTGCCAGGCTGAAGGAAGGAGTGCCTTCGAGCTCACCGTGTGACCTCGTTTGAGCTCTCCCAGAAAAGTAGCATTACCGTGTCTCACCAGTGCCACCTTTGCGATTTTGTTGCTCTATTTTGTGACTTTTTAAGTTTTCTTTATGGCAATGCTGCTAAAACTATCAACTTTCTGTAAAGGGAAAATGCAGATAATTTTTTAGATATTCAATATATACACGAGGATTTTATATCCGTTTTATTTAACTCTTGTCACATCTTCTCGTGACTTTTTTTGACTATTTAAAGTTTATTTACTTTTTTAGGTTCTTTATGCCACTTTAATGATCTAGGAAAGGTTGTCTCAGGTGAGACTCGAGATGTCGAGAGGTCGGAGCTCGTGTCATGGGGCCTGCACTGGCACTGGAAAATAATTCATTGATGCATACCTGTCAACACCTTATCAGTGCCTCTTACCTTATTACAGACCAATTCAGACCTTTTTGCTCACCCCGTGCCTCTTATAAATCTCAACGTTCGTCCTAAAAAGTTCCATCACAAGGGAGAAACACAAACAAATAAGCCAAAAGCATGTTTTTTTGCCCGTATTGAAACGGCTGTACGCCGTATGGGTCTGAACACTCAATTTCCCTTTTCAAGAATAGGGGTAAACCGTATGGGTTGACAGGTATGTTGATGCCATCATATTAAATGAAGGCACGCTGAAAATGCCCTCCCTCTGTGCACTCCACATAGCCTCCGAATGCAGCAGGCCTGACAAAAGAGGCTTTTCGATTTCAAGCTTTCGTGACTGCAAGGATTCATCTTCTTTGGTTCTTTCGGTAAAGTCACGTAGAATGAGAATAAAATAATCAGGTGAAGGGACAAGACTGTCTGGAGGACAGCGCTGTCCTCCAGACAGTCTCGTCCCTTCACCTGATGAAGGCTGCTTGTGTTGTGGCCGAAACGTCGTGAGAATTTTATTGTGTTATTTTATTTTATCAATTTATTATTTTATTCTCATTCTACGTGACTTTACCGAAAGAACCAAAGAAAAAGAGGCTTTGTGATGGCACCGAGGTGGCTGTATCGATAATCAGTGGGATGGTTGGCTATCATGCTCTGCTAAATTCTGGATATACAGCAGTTGTAACCTGCATTGTGTCATTGCACATATACAGTACAAGTATCTTGTTTTCCGATAAATGTAATCCCATGAATAATCAATCTACAGTATTCATCTCACAAACGTTTTAATTCGTATTTAGGCTCTGTCGCGTTGCTAGTTTTCTGCAACAGAGGTGACAATTGACTTTTCCCCCACTAATAAAACACTGTTGTTACCTAAGGCCCGCGGTGCATCGTGAGTTTTAGGTTTCTAATTACATCACTGCCTGCGAAATCGGACCTTAACGTCACGATCCGGTCGACACTCATTGCACAACAATGTGCTTGCCACAAATGGAAACCACAACAACAACCATCAGGCGAACTGCGCTCATCCTCGACAACAACAAACAACAACAGCAGCAGCGGCGGCTTTTGGCTGCTCGCCATCGGACAAAGACGAAGACGGCGGCGGCCACAGACGCGCTTCTGCGGCCGTCTGGAACGCTCTTCTCCTTCCCGATGTAGGAAGCCACTCACGGGAGCTATCACATACCGTGTTTAACGCCGTATTCTCGTACAGGGAAATTCAGTGCTCATGTCCACACGGCGTACAGCCGTTTCAATATGGGCTGGGGGTGGTGGTGGTTGTGGTGGGAATATTTGTGGATGTGTTTCTCTCCTTGTGATAGAACTTTGTAGGATGAACGTGGATATTTATAAGGGGCACAGGGTAACCAATGAGGTCTGAATTGGTCTGTAATAAGGTAGGCACTGATAAGGGGTTGACAGGTATGAGTACACACAAAAAACTACGATTAGGTACTTTTTTAATTATTTTTGTCTGTTTCTCTCCTTGTGATGGGACTTTGTAGGATGCACGTTGATGTTTATAAGGGGCACGGGGTGACCAATATGTACTGAATTGGTCTGTAATAAGGTAGGAGGCACTGATAAGGGGGTTGACATGTATGTAGTAGTGAGTGTACTGGTGGTGAATGTAGTCGTGGTGATTTTCTATTTGTGTTTCTCTCCTTGTGATGGGACTTTGTAGGATAAACGTTGATGTTTATAAGGGGCATGGGGGTGACCAATATGTTCTGAATTGGTCTGTAATAAGGTAGGAGGCACTGATAAGGGGGTTGACAGGTATGCTCTATATGCACTTTAAAATAACCTAGCTCGACAACCCATGTGTTTAGAACTGTTTGTTGTTGTTGTCGTGTTTGTTGACCTTCAACACCCCACACCTCCCGATGAGCGCGGTTGGCTACGTACGGCGCGAAAAAAAGTTATACGCACTGTACACAAATCCTTGGCCGCGATTCCTTCACTGATCTGAACCATCGGACATCGTCCCTTCTGACCAAGCCCAATGACTTTTATTCAAACAAAAAATATAGCATATGTTGTGAAAGGAATACTGTACTTGCATTCATTTACAGTTTGAATGTCATTAACCATCGCATGTTCTCTAAGTCCACGTGCTCATTTTTCCTCTCAACGTTTAACTTCAAGCGTGCACATCAAAATCTCCTCTCCACGTTTCTTCGCGCAACTCTCTATTCAAAAGTAGTTTCGTTCTGTACTTTGGCCCAAAGAGTGATACAATTTTTGCTGCGTTCAACAAAAAAATTCAATCCGGAGGTAAAAACTCCCTCCGATCTGGCACCGGAGGTTCGAGACCTCTGCCGCCATGTTGGTAAAGTGGGCGGGGGGCGAGGGAGGGGCGAGAAGGGAGGGAGGGGACAAGGGCCGTGGGGGAGGGGCAGAGGGCAGGGGGGAGGGTCGGTGGGGGAGGGGCAGGGGCGGAGAGCAGGAGGGGATGGGAGGGCCAGGGGAGGCGGAGGGCGAGAGGGTGGGGCGGAGGGGGAGGGGCGTATGGTGAGGGCGGGGACGGAGGGGCGTATGGTGAGGGCGGGGACGGAGGGGGAGGGGCGTATGGTGAGGGCGGGGACGGAGGGGGAGGAGCGTATGGTGAGGGCGGGGACGGAGGGGGAGGGGCGTATGGTGAGGGCGGGGACGGAGGGGCGTATGGTGAGGGCGGGAACGGAGGGGGAGGGGCGTATTGGTGAGGGCGGGGACGGAGGGGGAGGGGCGTATTGGTGAGGGCGGGGACGGAGGGGTCACACACCTCGCTGGCGACGTCACCGCCATCGGTGCTGAACATCCGGGTTACGGAGGCGGAGGAGGAGGAAACGGAAGTTGCTCGCTGACGTGATATCCGGCCAGCGCGAGCGAGTCATGGCGTCGGCAATGGAGGTGGACACGCCGTGCGCTTCGTCCACCGCTGGCGGCGGCGGCAAGAAGCGCTTCGAGGTCAAGAAGGTGAGCTCCCGCAGCTGCGATCGTCGGTGTCACCGCCGGGGCCCGCCAGTGTTGGGGAGTTCGTTTGAAGAGGGATGAAGACGAACGAGGCTTCCAGTGACTTGCTTGGCCTCTCCCTATACTTTAAACTCCTTTTGTTTTGTATTGTTTGTTTTTGTTTTGTAACTTTCTGACCCGACCCTTACTGGACATCTGTGAAAAAAAGAGATTCATTGCTCATCTGATTCGTCGAGTCTACATCAAGATTATATTTCTGACGTTGCCGGCGTTCGCATCGTTATGGCGCTCCGGTGACGTCACGCTCGGACGTTGCGGCGTTGTTGGTGGTGGTGATCATTGCGTTGTTGGTGATTACGGCGTTGTTGGTGATTACGGCGTTGTTGGTGGTGGTGATCATTGCGTTGTTGGTGATTACGGCGTTGGTGGTGGTGATCATTGCGTTGTTGGTGATTACGGCGTTGGTGGTGGTGATCATTGCGTTGTTGGTGATTACGGCGTTGTTGGTGGTGGTGATCATTGCGTTGTTGGTGATGATGGCGTTGTTGGTGGTGGTGATCATTGCGTTGTTGGTGATGATGGCGTTGGTGGTAGTGATAATTGCGTTGTTGGTGATTACGGCGTTGTTGGTGGTGGTGATCATTGCGTTGTTGGTGATGATGGCGTTGTTGGTGGTGGTGATCATTGCGTTGTTGGTGGTGGTGATCATTGCGTTGTTGGTGGTGGTGATCATTGCGTTGTTGGTGATCATTGCGTTGTTGGTGGTGGTGATGATGTTGTTGGTGGTGATGTTGTTGGCGGTGGTGATGATGGCGTTGTTGGTGGTGATGTTGTTGGCGGTGGTGATGATGGCGTTGTTGGTGGTGGTGGTGATGGCGTTGTTGGTGG